AGCTCCTGTGTTGAGCATCTGCCCCCATTCCACCATAACAGAAAGGTAGGCTTTCATTATATAGATAATATTGTTAGTCTTATCCATAGCAATTAGGGAAGAAAAAATAAATAAAAGACATCTAAGTTGGGAATGAAGAAGTGAAGCTGCCACTTTTGCAGATGACATGATTCTTTATATAGAAAACCCTAAATGCTCTACCAAAAAAAACTATTAGAAAAACAATTTAAAAAATAACATAAAGTTGCAAGATATAAAACCAATGTACAAAAAACCATTGTGTTCCTTTACACTAACAATGAAATCTCAGAAAAAGAAATGAAAAGAAAAAAAAGAACACTTCCTTTTGCAATTACAACAAAAAGAATAAAACACCTAGAAATAAACTTAACAAAGGATGTGAAGGACCTATATACTGACCACTACAAGACATTATTAAAAGAAATTGAAAGAGACACAAAGAAAGGGAAAGATACTCCATGTTCATGAATTAGAAGAATCAATATTGTTAAAATGGTCATATTACCCAAAGCAACATACAGATCTAATGCAATTGCCATCAAAAATTACAATGGCATTTTTTTTTTTTAAAGAAAAGAAAAAAGTCATCAGATATGTATGGAAACCTAAATTTCCATTTCTCCCTCTGGAAATAATGCAGTACAGTTCATTGACCTCTGAACTAGGATAAATAATGCAATACAGTTCAAAGCAATTCTGAGAAAAAGTACTTAAAATGAATCTTGAAATATGTGCTAAAGAAGCCAGTCACAAAAGGACAAATATTGTATGATTCCATGTATATGAAATATCTAGAATAGGTAAATGTATACAGAAAGTAAATTAGTGGTTGACTAGGACTCAAGGGGATTGGGGTTCGAAAGTGACAGCTAATGGGTACAGGGTTTCTTTTAAGGAGGATGAAAATGTTCTAAAATTAGATTGTAAGGATGACTGTACAACCTTGTTAACTATGATAAAAAATCTTAAATTGTACACCTGAAATGGGTTAAAGTATATGGTATATGAAATATAGCTCAATAAAGATATTTTAAAAATCTAACCCATTAACTGATTAGTGGATCCCTTTTCTTTCCTTCCTAGAGAAATATCCTCTCCATAAAAAAATTAAAAAGAAGAGCTCAGAGTGCTTTCTTGGGTTTGAAGCTATAAAATATCTTGGCTTTGGAAATATGCTTACATCTCTTTGCATCCATCATCTCCACTTTATTTCAAATATCAATCATTTTTTATTAACTCAAATGAATACAAAATATTTATGCCAGAATAGACAAATGCAAAATGTATCTACGCTCAAACTAAATCCCACAGATAACATTCTCTATCGCTCACCAACAATAACTGTTCTCTGTTTTAGTACAAATTGACAACCCTTGTTAACAATCTTCTTTTGAGTACTGGCTACAGTGGCTTTCAAACAACTAAATCTCCACTTTCACAGGATCTCTTTGTTCTCCTAAGAAATACAGGGAGTATGGTATCACAATGACAGCCAAAACAGTCTTTCCTATTAAAACTGGCTAAACCTGGGGAGGGAGATCTGGGGGAGATAAGAGATCAACCGAAGGACTTGTATACATGCATATAAGTACAACCATTGGACACAAAACTCTGGGAAGGGTGGGTATTTATGGGAAGGGGGGGGGGGGCAATGGTAAAATATGTACACAGATAATAATTTAATAAATAAATAAAGTAAAATTAAATTAAATTAAAAAAAACTGGCTAAACCCATCTGCTAAGGACCTACTGACATCAGCATTATTCACTTGAGTGGGACTGTTACAGGAGCAACCTAGAGAAGAGATGATCTTGCACTTGGTTAGGAGATAAAGGAGGTAAATTAATATGAGTCAACTAGTGGATAATGGTCTTAAAAACCTAATTAGACTAAGGAATCTGTTGTCTGGAATATTTTTACTGATTGCAAAGGGAACCTGTATTTTGGGAGTTTTCCAACCTTTTTTATTTAAATATATTTTTATTTATTTCCAAGAGAAGATGGGAGAGGGAGAGAGAGATAAAACCATCAATGATGAGAGAGAATCATTGACAGGCTGCCTCCTGCACAACCCACACTGGGGATTGAGCCGACAACCCAGGCATATGCCCAATCTGGGAATAAAACCATGACCTCCTAGTTCATAGGTCAATGCTCAACCACCCTAGCTGGGCCAAGCTTTTGTTTCTAAGTTAGGAAGAGCTTATATCTGATCAACGTGCCAGTTACTGTGGGAAAATACAGAAAAAATGCCTCTCAGAATCTAAAATGCAAGGAGAAATTAAACATAGTCAGATAAAGAGACTTAAGAATAACAAGGATAAAAATATACTATCAACTCAATGTACCTCCTATATAATAAAAGCCTAATATGCTAAGTGTTCAGTCATCCATTCAACCAACCAAAATGTAATTTGCTGATGATATGCTAAGGCTGCTCAACCGCTCACCATGATGTGCATTGACCAACAGAGGGCAGACAGTGGACCCGCTGGCCAGTCACTATAATGTGCACTGACCACCACGGGGCAGACACTCCGACTGATAGGTTAACTTGTTGCTGGGGTTTGGCCAATCGGGATTAAGAGAGACAGGCCAGACACAGCCTGGAGGCCTCCCACAGTCCCTCCCTGGCTGGCCAACCTCCCGCATCCCTCCCTAGCCCCAATTATGCACCAATGGGGCACCCTCGGCCTAGCCTGCACCCTCTCACAATCCAAAACCCCTAGGGGGATATCAGCAAGTTATTTTCAGCCCAATCCCACAGGCCAGGCCAAAGAACCCCACTGGTGCTCAAATTCATGCACCGGGCCTCTAGTTGCTATATAATATTTAAAATATTGAGTTGATTATGGAGAAGATGTTAAATGAACATTAGTTCTAGAAAGTAGGCGATGCCTCCCTAATACTGCCTGCTACTTGCTTTTATTCAAGGAAGGGGGCACAGGTCTAAGTAAGCAATTCTATAAGGGAGAAAATGTATTTGTAGTATTTATATACAAATATTAATTCTAAACTCCTAATCTTGGTTGAACAAATTACCTATTTTTTAAGCACAATTTAACTCTATTTCTTCAAGTGTCATCTCTGCTGGTTTGTTCTTCAAATTATTTAAGTTCACCCCTCCAACTGATACAAAGAACTGGTTTCTACTCTTAATAATGTTTTTTTATAAGATTCCCTGAATTTGGATTGATAAAGGGAGTATTTTAAGATCCAGGCCACAACTTATAAGTAATGTTACATATAATTTGGCCATTTCTTCTGCTTAAGTACTTTAAAAAGAGAGATCCTTCCAACATTTCAGGGTAAACTCAACAATATTTCACTTTATAACACTATATTCCAGTTCAAATTTAATTTCTAAATCTGTTAGATATTTCCCTTAATTTATCAAAAATCCTTCCTCTGGTTTCAAATCTTTTCAGTACAAAAATTATTCATAAATGACAATGTCACATCACTTGACTTTTACTGTGGCCTAATATAGATTACTTAGACCATTTGAGTTCTCAGCCACTATGGTCAATTATACAGGGGTTTTTTTTTAAAGCTATTAACATTAATCTTTGCTTACAAATTGCAGAACTTCATGTTAATACAGTATGATTTCTTAAGACGCTGGAATCTTGCATAACTATTTCAAAAGTCTACAATCAAGTTCTCTGAACCTCACAATCAAGAACTTGGGCAAGTTAATTGTGAAATTATAATCTTGATTATAAACGAGTTGAGCACTTAACTTATACTTTCAAGGATTATTTTTTTAAAGTGATTTTTAAAAATTAGTCCTATGTTAATAGCTACTTCACATAGTGGACAGAGCTCTCACATACACATTCTTATTTGAGATGTTTTCTTTATGTTGCCACCCCAAAAGGTTATTTAAATGTTTTTGGATGAATAACGACTATGGAGTAACATTATTTGTGTACCTTACTTGAACCTAGTCTGATAGCAACTTCTAAACATCCCAAAATTCAATAGAATGCTTGGTGAAGTGAACATTCAATTATAAAACAGCAGAATATATAACCACATCAGAGAACAACCACATCAGAGAACGACCACAACATATCACTTGGTTTAAAAAGAAACGAAAACTAAAGATAAACAAACAAACAAAAAAATTAGAATAAGAAAAAAAAAAAAAAAAAAAAAGCAAGCACAAGACTTTCCTGCAGGCAATATTCTCAACTTCTCCAATCTGAACTCCCTCTTCCATTTTCAAACTCCTCCGACTGGATGGAACAAGATCCATTTATTTAGCTCACTCTTTGTAAGGATAGTTTTTTCTGCACAATATATATCTGATTTCTACATGAAGAGTCACCGTTTTGCAGAAGCAACGGTTCTTACCACTTTTTAGATTCCAGAACATTAGCCGGGGGGGGGGGGGGGGGTGTAAATTACATGAAATTGGCCGAATCCACGTGATTCCAAGGAGCAGAAAGACTTTGTAAATTCTATGTCCTCTTCCTCCAGCCCTCAACACTACCTTTACCCCCCCCCCCAAAAAAAAAAAGTCAACAGAATGTTTTTGCATTATTAGAGAGGGCCAGTGTTCGAATCAAACGAAAATTTTTATCTTTAAAGCACTACTAAGGGGCGAACCAAGGAGGTGGGCAGAGAGTAACTGTCAAGGTAGCAAGGAGTCTGAATGACTCCATGCCAGATACCCGGAATGGCTTAAAGGACACAAGCCCAGGAGAGTTCAGTCCAGATTTCTTCCGCACCTGCCAAGTGGCACTTTGGGATCGCTGCGTTACGCCACGAGTGTACGGGGCTAGCACTGGGAAACTCTGCAAGTCTGGGCAAGCCAGACACGGATAAGGCGGCTACCGGAGTTTCGGGAAGGAGGAGAGGAGAGCTGGAGAAGGGAGGCCACGCGCTGGGCCCGGAACTGGTCAGCGCCAGCCAGGCCGGGGCCCAGGACGCTGTAAGAATGAGGAAGCGGGCGGCGCTGGTTCCGACTCACCTGCCCATTCACCGAGCCCCGGTCCAACCCTAGGCTCGTGACCCAGACCCCAGATCTGAAAGGCCGTGAAGAGCGAGTACGAGATGCGTAGGGCTAGGTAGGCCACAGTGCCTGCGCCCACCCAGTACAGGAAGCCGGCCGCAGGGAGAGCGCTCTCCATGGCTTCCAACCAGGCCTTACTACCCTCGTGAATGGAGGGGGAAAAAAAAAAAAAAAAAAAAAAAAAAAAAAAAAAAAAAAAAAAAAAAAAAAAAAACACAAGAAAACTAATGAATGAATCCTGGAAGAGGCGCCTGTCGTGACGCAGCGGACGACCCTAATAGGAGCCGCTCCGACAACGTATTGGCCTAAGCCCCGCCCAGAAGGCCATATCCGTGCCAGCATTGGTCATCGATTGTTTCCTTTGCGCGTATGCGTCACCCATTGGCTAACTTCAGTTTCACTTCCCCGCCCACATCCCCTCCCTTGCGCGTCCCGGGGCGGGTTTCCGTTCTAGAGAAGCTGATCACCAGCCAATCAAGATTCAGCCCCGCCCTCACGTCACCACGCCCCCGGGAACTCGACGGAGGGCGCCGGTCTCACCCCACCAAATAACCCAGGGCTTTCATTGGCTGCAGCGGTCCTCGCGATTGCGGAAGACTGCACTCCGATTGGCCACTCAGACGCCGGGGTTTGAAGACGGAATGGGAGCCGAGAAGCCACTAGTGAATAGGCGGATTGTAGTAAGAAGTAGGAGTGCAACCAGGGGATTATTTTCGCCTCTTTAGGAAGTATGTTAACATTGTTCATTGTGCTGTCATGGTTCCCATAAACTTTTCCAAATAAAGTCTTCCATCTGCTGTTCCTGTGCCTTCCCCACAGCACCTCTTTGCCCTGGTGACACTCACTCATTGAGGGCCTTTTGAATGCCAGGCCTTCCTCCCCGACTGAGCATTGAACTACATACATAGTTCCCAGAGTCTACGAGTTCAAAGCAAATGGCTTCATGGAGACAAATAACTAATACACCACAACATAGAGCTGCAAGATGAATGAAAAATATAGGAACACAGCCTGACGAACAATTAGTTCAGGGAAGGAATTCCCTGTTTTAACTGGGCATTAAAGGATGATGTTTTTCTTTTACTTTCTTTTTTTTTTTTTTTTTTTTTTTCCTTTTTGTTGTTGGAGGAGGAGGGAAGTGAGTTGTGAGGGGACACAAAAGTGTGTAATATGAGAACTACCTCAGCAAAATTCCAGAGGAGTGAGTCCATAAAATAAGTTTAAGAAATTGTGTAATGCAATAAAATGTTTCACACTTAGCCTGTTATCCTTCTATCAAGTGTTTTTGTTTCCTTTTCTGGTATGGATTTGGGCTCATATAAGGCACCTAAATTTTTTTTCTTTCTCTCTTTCTGCCTAACTCCCACTCTCTTTTGAAGAATAGAATGAAGAAATAAAATGAAGTCACTATAGTCAAGATGCCAAATTACTAAAATCAAGTAGGTTGAGGCATGTGGAAACAATTCTATTTCCATTTTAACTACACAGAAAACTTAAACTTTCGAACTTTCCAGTCTTGTATCAATGTGTGGATATACATCCTCCAGAAAACCCTCTACCCCTTGGAGGACTACGGAAAGAATATTCCTATATCCAGACTGACTGACATCCATTTTCCAGTCATCCACAGGATTGTCACATTGGGCCAATCCACAGGCTAAAAATACATAAGTGATTCTTTTTAAGAATGTACTTTTTACTGTAAGAACTGTTAGCTTTCCTTTTTTCTTTGGAGCACTCTGGGTATTGACCAATCGTGTTTTCAGTTTGCAAACTCTAAGATCCTTGAGTAAATCTTTGTCATTTATTTCTAGCCAAAGCCTCTGGACTCAAAAGGAGTTCATTCAACGTTTATCAAATTCATTGAGTATAACCCTAAAGCTGTACTGTTCTTCATAAACTGCCAATTGCCCAGCAGAATTCAGCCATATGAGTTGAGCTGGCACCATATTTTTTATTAATTGAATTTGATACCTTTGTCTGGGACTGCCTCTCCAATTCAACTGAAGTCCCACCATTTCTCTCAGCCTCTCCCTTGCTCCCCCCTCTGCCTATAGTATAGTCCCAAATTTATATATCCCAAGTTATTATTGCTCACCACCAAAGGCACTCCAGATAGTCACTCCCCTTCCCCTTAGAATAGGGTGGGAGGAGGGGAGGAGAGATCTTACAAATTAAAAATACCTATTTTTGTTGTATTTGTATGCATGTCGATGGCCACATTAGAATTTATGATTATTGGGAATCCATAGGACCTAGAACAGTTCCTGGAACCTAGGGACCTTCAATAAATGTCTGACAAATAAATAGAAACGCAGGTCCATTAATTCAACAAATATTATTGCAGTAACTGGGCTAGGTACTGGGTATACAATAGTGAGGAAATGGTCAATTCTTAGTCCTCATCCTACTCTACCACACCACAGTGGTGGGGGAGGGCACTGTTTTCCTCAATAGCTACTTCTTCCCAAAGTCCTTTGCTGGCCCCTCCACATGCTAGCCTCTAAATGATGCAATACCCCTGGGCTCAGACCCCAGCTTTCTTTCTTTTCTTTTCTTTTTTTTAAATATATTTTATTGATTTTTTATAGAGAGGAAGGGAGAGGAATAGAGAGTTAGAAACATCAATGAGAGAGAATCATCAATCAGCTGCCTCTTGCACACTCCCCACTGGTGATATGCCCGCAACCAAGGTACATGCCCTTGACTGGAATCGAACTCGGGACCTTTCAGTCCACAGGCCAATGCTCTATCCACTGAGCCAAACCGGTTTGGGCCCCAGCTTTCTTTATACATGGACTTCTTACATGTTAAAACAACTATAAACCGATGACTTCCAAATGTCTCTAGCCAACCTCAATTTCTGTGTGTGTGTGTGTGTGTGTGTGTGTGTGTGTGTGTGTGTGTGTCCACCTGTCTGTCAATATCTAAACTGAGGTGTAAAATAGAAATAAATATCTCAAACTTAACATGTCCAAAACAAAACTCTACCCCTACCACACATACACCTTTTTTCTTCCCGTCTTTGTTAAAACCTAAAGATCAACCTTGATTCTCTTTCCATTACATTCCCATGTCCAATTCTTCAGCAAATCTTGTTCACTCTACCTCTAAAATACCTTTTTTTTTTCTTTTTTTTTTTTTAAATGCAGGTTCTGGTTCTGCAGGTCTAAGGTAGAGCCTGATATTCCACATTTCTTTTTTAAATATATTTTTATTGATTTCAAAGAAAAAGGGAGAGGGATATAAACATTAATGATGAGAATCATTGTTCTGCTGCCTACTGCACACCCCTTACTGAAAATCAAGCCCACAACCCAAGAATGTGCCCTTGACTGGAATTGAACCTGGAACCCTTCATTCTGCAGGCTGACACTCTATTCTCTGAACCAAACCGACTAGGGCTAAAATATATCTTAACTAACCACTCTTCTGAACTCCTGCTACTATACAACCCAAATCATAAACACTTCTTGCTTGGAGTATGGCAATGGCCTCCTAATTGGTCTCCCTGAAGTCTGGCTTGAGGTATGTTCTCCATGAAGTAATAGGAGTATTTATAGTTTTAAAGTAAATTAGGTATTTTTTTTCTTTTGCTCAAATACCTCAAGAGCTTTCTATCACATTAAGAACAAAGTCCTCTAAGACTAGTTTATCTGCCCTGACTTCTCCAGCAGCAACCACCCTCGACAATGCTTACTTGATTCCAGCCACACTTCCTGCAGTTTCTCAAATAAGCCAAGTTCATTCAGTCTCAAAGCAGTTCTACTTTCTGTCCCCTCTCCCTGGAACCCTCTCCCCTGTATGTCTCAAGGCTCACTTCGTTATATTATTTAGGCTTTTGCTCATACATCCTCTCCCTTGGAGTGTTTTTCTCTGACTGTCATACATAAATACCCCAAATAGCTTCTTTTCCTTTGCCCAGTTGCTACTTATTTTTTAGCTTAATTTGTTTCTCTCAAAGCACTTAATGCTTTCAAATCTTTTATTTAGTTTTGTCCATCTTCCCAAAAGAATGTAAGGTCCTGAGAACAGTGACTTCTTGTTCACACTGTAACTTCACTTAAGATGTGCACCTAAGAGTACTTGACACTTTGTAGGTATGCAATAAATACCTTTTGAATGAACGATGAGTTGATAAGTGGATAAATGAAAATAGTCTGAGAGATATAGACATCTAATTATATATATATGTATGTATATGTATATATATATATAAAATAAAATTACAGCAAATACAAAGAAAAGAATATGGCTTAAGGAAGGAGAAAAGAGAGAACCTAATTTAGGAGACTCCCCTGAAAGGCCTTTTTTTTTTTTTTTTTTTTTTTTTTTATTTTTATTTATTTTTTTTTTTCTTAATTTTTATTGTTCATATTAATACAAATGTCCCTTCCCACCCCACCCTCTGCCCTTTCCCCACCCCGCATTGTCCTCATCCATAGGTGCACAGTTTATGTTCAGTCTCTTCCCACATCCCCTTCTCCCCTTTTCCCCAAGAATCATCAGTTCACTCCCCTTCCATACCTCTGATTCTATTATATTCAACAGTTAATATTGTTCATCAGATTTTTTTTTTAATTTCCTTGGTTTTTAGATTCACTTGTTGATAGTTACGTATTTGTTGTTCATAATTTTTATCTTTATTTACTTTCTCTTCTGAAAGAACCCCCTTCAGCAATTCATATAATTCTGGTTTGGTGGTGATGAACTCCTTTAGCTTTTTTTTATTAGTGAAGCTCTTTATCTGACCTTCGAATTTGAGTGATAGCTTTGCTGGATAGATTATCTTTGGCTGTAGGTTCTTACTATTCATCACCTTGAATATTTCTTGCCATTCCCGTCTGGCCTGCATGGTTTCTGTTGAGAAATCAGCTGACAATCGTATAGGTGCTCCTTTATAGGTAACTATCTGCCTAGCTCTTGCTGCTTTTAATATTCTCTCTTTGTCTTTTGCTCTTGGAATCTTAATTATGATTTGTCTTGGTGTGGTCCTCTTTGGATTCCTTTTATTTGGAGTTCTGTGTGCTTCCTGGACTTGTAAGTCCAATTCTTTCCCCAGGTGGGGGAAGTTTTCTGTCACTATTTCTTTCAATATGTTTTCGATATCTTGCTCTC